AACTTAGTTCGAAGATCATGTACATATCGAGTAGAGGGTACCAAGTCTGCACTGTCACCATCACAAAACCAGCCCTCTTCGAATTGCGAGTAAGGGTTTTCTACCAACCACACAAAACCACAACGACTGCACTCATTGGAGGCATGGAAACCCCCAAAAGGAGAAAATGACCAGTCCTTTTCTTCCTTTCTGGAAAACTCTCTAAATATAAATGAGAATTCTACAAAACCCTAGAGAGGAATGCGCAGAACAGAGAGAAAAGGAGACAACTGATCTGAACTGATTATCATGGCTCTGATACCATGATAAAACTCAGATTAGATGTTCGTAATATGTTCAGATCAGAAGAAAGAGAAGGAAAAGAGAGAGAGAAGGAGAAGGAGAAAGAGAAGAAAAAGAAGGAGAAAAGTCACAGCCGAACTAGAGAGAAAATCTTAGAACCTCTAGTCGGCCCTTCTTTTATTTATACTCTTCTAAGATATACAAGGATTACCATTGTGCCCTTACTTAAGTGAGAGCCACATCAGCAGAGCAGTACATATATAACTAAACATAAAAGGACTGTACTACCCATGTACAGCCGACTCTAACAAAGTACCAAGTGACTAAGTATCAAGTTAAAACTGAGCCCAATACACTTTTTCCCTATTTGCCCCTTGCTTCTCGAAACTATCAGCCAATGCATTTGCTGATCTCCCCACCCACTGTATTTTCCTTGATGTAGGTAATTCCTCCCCTTCTCTGCAATCCTGCTTTGTTAACTGATAATTCCTGTTCTCTTGATGTTGATGTTTCTACTCATGTTCCTAATCTTGATATTCCTATTGTTCTTCTCAAAGAAAAGCATGATTAGCTTTAGCTGTCCACTCTCATTAGCTGATTAGCTCAGAGTTGGGCTGAAATCTAGGATTTTGTTGCATGAACTGCATAGGTCTAACAAGAATAAGCCTGTTCATGAAATTGCTGATTAGACAAAATTACCCTTTTACAATAAGCCTGTTCATTTGCTGATCTCCCCACCCACTGTATTTAGTATAATTTCTCAGGCGTGACGCACTATTATTAAGGTGAATTATTGATACTTAGTTCAGATACATGCTTAGTCTTACTCTTACTAGGAAAATGACATAAAAATTTCAGGTTTTTTATTATTGCTTAGGTGGCACCTAGGTCTGAGCCTAGATGACTAAGCATTCCTGTATCACCCAGAACCAGAATTGCTTTAATACTTTGACAACCATGATGTAAAGATATCAGCAGAGATATGAATTTCCAGTTTTGAATGTAACTCCACAATATCAACTGTCAAATAGAACATGGGGAAGAAAAATAAAAAAGGCTGATAAATGGACAAATTCGCATTCATATGCAACCATATCAAGTAATGATCTGGAATTAGAAATCCAGCATACAGAAGCACCACCCAGAAAAAAAAAAATAATCACCAGTAGAATTACAGCAGGAAGGGAGAAAACAAAATTAAAAGGCAAAGGCAATGTTCAAAGTAACAATTACCCGATGAATAGAAAAATCATTGTAACTCTTAAGCTCGCATATTACTTTGTCCAATGTACATTCAAATCCAAATATGCCTTTTGGATACAAAACTTTGGCAAAACGACAAACATCTTCATCACTGTAAATACGTCTCACCAGTAAAGGATGATTTGCAATCTGACATAAGCACAATATGTAAGGCATCAGATCCAGAGGGACTAAATAGACAAACAAATTAATAAATAAAATGATCTATACACCTTGCGGAGCTGAACAAAATAGTTAGAAATCTGGCGACGTGGAAGAACTCCAACAATGCTATTTGAAGCAACTTCTGAAAGCTTTCCAATACGAGCTCGAGAGGCTGCACGATACTCTTCAATGGCTTCTTTGTATGCATCATCCTGTTGCTTTTCCATTGATACATACTCAACCTGAAGTAACTTTTTTCTTAGATCTTCTAGAAGATATTAAATAAAAAAGGAAAGAAAAAATCATGTGCAGTCTCATATTAAGATATCATGTGACATTTATATTTGTTGAGAAACCAGACTTTCCATGGTGAAACATGACAAGGAAAATAACTGCTAGACATACACGTTGTATCTTCGGAACAAGTTGTTGCATCACATCAGATTTTAAGCGCCTCAAAATAAATGGTCCCAAAATGGACTTTACACGGGCAATCAGATCTGTATCTTCTGCATTTAATAACTTTTTCAGGTCCACATCACCAGTTGCAAAAATATCAGGCATCATAAATTCTAACAATGACCACAGCTCCTGCAAAGAAATGCCAATTACCATGACGTCCAGGCAATGAAAATTGCACAAATAGATATGCTTAACAGGACAGAAAGAAATCATTTTTATGCTTAACAGGACAGAATGAAAATTGCCAATTACCATGACGTCCAGGCAAGGTTGTAAAATCTCCAGACAAAAATAAACCACCATTCAGCATGCATATTAATTGAAAAGAAAAATAACAATTCTATTCACTAACAATATTAAATTTCCTCTCAACCGTGGAAAATCATCATAACTAGAATATAAAAATATTTTAAATATATTAATCTCAACATTGTCAAAAATAACACTAATATAATAAATATCTAATAAAGCAATTGCAGCTGCAACAAAAGTAACATTTACATTTCCTTTCTATTGTTTTCCCCTCTGAAATATAAGAGGAAACTCATGAAGCTAAAAACATGTCCCTTGTACGCCTTGACTTCTATCCAATAATCATAAAACAAACGGTCTTTGTAATCATCTGTTAGGGTAGCCTTCTAACTTCCAACCTTACTAGAAGCCATAGTAACAGAGGCATCCAGATCTCCAGTCCTCATAACAACCTTCCTAGAAGTTTCACTCTTAACAAGAGAATACACCTCAATTAGGGATATCACCTCTGCTCAAAACTTGCATCTTGATGATATCAAACTCAGGTTTGAACCCAGCAAAGAACCCAAAACTCAATTCCAACCATTGCTTCTTATACATTATGGCATCTCAATGATCAAACAAGGTAATGACCTCAAGGTGACCCAACCCCTCCGACATCCCTTGAAGAGTGACAAAGTAAGCTGGAATACTCAACTCCCCTTGTCCAAAGGCAGTGATAACTAGTTTCAGCTGGTATTTCTCATTTTGCATCGAAGAGTATGTATTGGGAATGCAATTCCAGATTTGTAAAGCAATCTCAAAAACAAAAGAGGTCAGATAATCTGTGGTCGCAGGGTGTTAAGCAATCATCCAGTTTATCTACTTCTAGACCACCTCCTCTTGGTTTAACAATCTTCCTTGTTCTTTTTTGGTGGTAAATAAAAAAGAAAATTAATTAATAAAAAAGTACATCTGATAGTGATGAGATATCACTAGAAAACAAAGATATAAAGGAGAGTGGAGCAAACAAAAAGGATACACTGAGAAAAAAAAGGAGAAAAAACATAAACCAAACAAAAAGGAAACTATTAAGCCAACTCCAGAATGTTCCAAAATCCAGAACCAAGGTCTTCTTTTGTGATTCCTTCAAACTCTGGGAGAATGAAGAACCCAGTCCATAATTCTTTTGCCACATAGAAGTGTGATATTCTCCCTTGTTTGAAACTTCTCATTAAATATTCTTCTACTTCTTTCTTTCATAGTTCCCAACAAGCTGCAAAAGGAATGCAACTCCAGGTGATCTTTGCCTTGAAATTTCCTTTTACCTTTAGCCATTTGGAGAAGATCTCCTTCACAGAATTGGAAGACCACCAACCAGCCTTGAAGAGCCTAAAGAGTAAAGAAGAAGCCCCAAATGAACTTGGAAAAAAGGCACTCAACAGGCAAATGATAGACATTCTCCTCTGCATTCTCACAAAGATAGCATCTGCTAGCTAAGTGAAAGCCTTTATTTTGAAGATGATTTAATCTCAAAATGCTATCCAACGCCACTAGCCAAGCAAAATCTTTCACCCTTGGGGTTTCCCCAGATGCCTTTTGATTCTGAATTTTCTCTATTTGACTTTGACAAAGACTTGTATAAGGATTTGACGAAAAATAGGCCATTTCTAGATTCTTTCCACTGTCCTGAATCTTTCCTTCCTACCAGAGGTTCAGCTGACTATAGTTTTGCCAGAAGATCCACACTCTTGAATTTTCCAATCAAAGAGAGATCTCCTAAATTTTGGACACCATACTGCTCTACCTTGATTGATCTCAAAATTCTCTGCAATGGAGTTATTTTTCATACCTAACCTATACAGACGAGGGCAAAGATCACACAACTTTCCAATACTCCATAAAATGTCTTAACTTCTCCGGAATCCCACCAAAATCCAATAACCCCATATTTGTAAGCCATCACCCTTCTCCAAAGCGCCTCCCTGTCCAACCCAAATCTCCACAACCATTTTCCTGAAAGAGCTTTATTGAAAATCAATGATCTTCTTATTCCCAGTCCCCCATCTTTCATTTCCTTGCAGACTTATCCCACTTAACTAAGTGGAATTTCTTCTCAATCCCTTTAACTCCCCATAAGAACTTTTGCAATTTCTTCTCAATCTTCCTTGTAACGCACCCCAACATGCCTCTACTTCCTACATAGATCTTCATAAATTGAGAACATTCTTGAAAATTACTCCATCAAGCTAGACGATGGTAGTAGAAAAGACAGATCCATCAATAGCCGGTATTTCTTTGCAACATTTTGCTTCAAGAGTATTTATGGGGAATGCAATTCCAGATTTATACAGAAATCACCAAAAATAAAAGATGTTGACTAATCTGTGGTTGCATGTTGTTAAGCAACCACCCCAGTTTATCTACTTCAAGACCATCTCCTCTTGGTTTAACAATCTTCCTTGCAAGGCACCCCAACTTGCTTCAGACCTCAGGGTCACTATCAAGTCATCCAAGAAGAATAGCAACATTTCCATGCACCATAACTAAGAGAAACCCAAGTTTGTTGGCAAATATACCTCAGAAAGAATTTCCAAAATATTCTAGCAGCATCAAAAAATTTCCAATCCACTTCTAATCACTCTCCAACTCCAAGGCACACCAAGAACTATTGTATATTCCAAGAAAAAATCACACAATCAAGCTCTTAATTGAACAACTCAGATCTGGAGAAAAAATTAAATAAGTTTTGCATGTGAGCCAAATCCACACCAAGATTCTTCTAAAATCCCAATCTACCAGAATCTAGGGTTCTTCTTGGCCTATAAACCCTACCCATATGACTGCTGACATCACATACATGAATAATGACTCAATTCCTAACAACTTCAACCTTTTGTGTTCTCAACGATTTTCCATGCTCTAATACAAACTTGTAATCTAAATTATGAAAGAAGGGAGGAGAGTTTTGAAAAAGAAAGTGTTAGACAATTTTTTTTTTTTGCGAAAAAGTGTTAGACAATAACTGGCAACCCCTTATTACTTCCTTAATACAAAATCAGTGTAATTACAATATTGCCCATTACATCTTTATTTCACTACATGTTTAATGGTTTTGAACAAGATAATAAAAGGTGTGCCTATAATGTTTCAACCATGTGTATAATTTTTACAATATTTCCTACAGCATTTTTATATGTTTCCTACATTTGGATGATGGATATTTCCACCAATGGCAGCATTTCGAACCTTGTTTAGGGTGTTAAAAAAAGGAATTGCATAAACAATGTCCCAAGGGCCGGACACAACATTATCTTGTCTTGACCATCTAAAAGGGATAATACTTGGTTGGGGTGATCAATGAACTAAAATAGCTTTCTCCCCCCCCCAACCCACCCCACCAAAAGGTTCCTTGTAAGGCCAAAAACCCAAGATAACCAAATGAATCTAACAAGGTCAAGAAAATCCAAGGAAATTGTTGCAATGGCTTTCCAAGGGGGACTAGTAAGGCACCCTCCTAGCTGAACCGGAGTCACACCCATTTTGTTGAATTCCATATTGTCTTTTTATAACATGCCAAAGAGATTGACTCTGAAATCCCCATAGCCATTTCCCTAGGAGGGTTATATTCCTATTCTTTAACCTCCCTAGCTTTGAATTGGGATCTCCTACCAACAAAACACGTTGCAACACCCTACCAACAAGATCTGACACCAACATCTCACTATGAGACTGGGACCCACTATAAAAATGGGACCCATCATGTATAAGATATGTGGTGTCAGATCATGTTGGTAGGGTGTTGGAACTTATTTTGTTGGTAGGTGATCTAGACTCCCTAGCTCTAGCCCCCCATCCCTCTTCCATTTGCACACACCTTGCCAATTCAAAAGGCAATCCTTTTTCCCAGGCTCTGACAAAAAACTCCCTTTTATGATCCTCTCTAATCATCGAATTATCTTTATGGGGGCTCTAAAAAGGATAATTAGTAGATAAGCAAATTTGTAAAGGTGGATTTTACTAAGGTGATTCTACCTCCAAATGATATGTAAATCTTTCCATAGACAATCTTCTCAAAAATCTCTATACTACCCATCCCCAAAAGCAAATGCTCTATGATTACCACCTAGGGGAATTCTAGATATTTCAATGGCCAATTCGTTGTTTTTTTTTTTTTGATAAATATTGCCAATTCATTGTTCTACATCCCAAAATTGCTACATATCTCCCCAAGACCCATTAATCCATATTAATTCCTGCTAAGTCACAATTAGCCAAGTTAATTCTGAGACCAGAAATACTTTGCATTATTGCAAAGACGTACATAAAAAATTCCAACCCCCTAAATTCCCCAAAAATGATGGTGTCGTTAGCAAACTGTATGTGGGCACATGGTCTCTGCCCACCCTCAACCCTTTAGTACACCCCTTTCACTGGCTCTAGAAAATAGTTTACCAAAGACCTCTGCCACCAACAAAAAAAAAGAATGAGTAACAATGGATCACCTTGACTTGAACTCTTAGAATCTTTGAAGAAACCCATTTATTTCTCCTAGTTTATTTAACATAAATGAACAGCTAACAAGATGAAAGCCATTTTCCGTACTAAATGTTACTTATAATGAAGGCAACATCTTGGACCCACTTTTTGTAGGTACAATGTTTGTGTATGTACTCTTCTATAAGGATGACCAAAGTCCATGTTTTGTCATCTTTCCAAGTAAGACTATTTGACACATGTCAAACTCGCATTCCCCTCTCTCTATCTGTGCAACACTGGTTAGTGTCCTTTTCTAAGTTCTTTTTTCTTGGTCAATAGCTGAAAGATTTACTAAAATAAAAATAATAAGAGTACATTACAGATTTGGGAGAGTATAACCCAACCACCCTTAAGTCTAA